ATATTATACATTGAATAACGAGGTAATGCTATGGAACCCAAGCAGCATGACCAAGCAGCAGGCAGTTAGTTACACTGAGTTCTGACATGACTTTTCACATCTCTTCTAGCTCTTGATTCAGTTCTAAGTACTTCAGCTATCCTATTACTTTTCTTAAGAAAGTGGGAAAAAAATATTTTCTGCTATACCCTGTCCATGGTGCTGCGTCTTACTGTTCCTATATATGAATGGTTTTAACCAGCTTTTTCTTTTGCTATTGGAGAAGCAACTATTTCGTGAAGGGATTTTGTCATTTTGCTTTAGAACTAGTGGTAATGACACTTAATATTCAGTAAATAACACAAACACATTTCATGTCCAGGATGTACAATTTAGAGTATTTTAGTAATTATGCTGATTGGGATTGAAGTTCAGTTATATTAAAAAGATTATAGGCTCCTTAATCTCTAATCAAGTCAATATATAGATTACGTGTGTGTTTATTTGATTTTATTCCATGGTTCTTTAGAAATCTTAAATGTTTTTTGTGCCTGATAAGAAACAACTTCACAAAGAGCTAAGGTTAGTGAACCATTAGAGAACATGATTCTTATTAGGCATTGTTATACAATTAACTATTAGTTTAAGTCAGAATCTGGTCGGAGTCTGACCATGTCAAAGACTATATAATTAAATGGATGCAGAATTTGAATATAGTAGATACGCAACAATGGGAATTTCAGTGAAAGAGTATTAAATCTACTTCAAATATTATGCTTTAACAAAATTAGTATAAAATGTTCTTTTGTTAGTATTTTAGTCTAGTTTTGATTGCTAACATGGGCAATTCATTTTCTAAAATATTTCAGAAATGTAATAATCAGGTTGTAATTATTTTTACATGTGGTAGCAATGGTACAAATGCTAACAGCTTTGGAAAATGGTTTATATTAGAATGGAACAAAATTTGAAAATTGAATTCCCATTGCAATCTTAGATATATTAAATGTTAGATTACATCAGGTAAATTTACTTAATTTCTGATATACTGAACAAGATTTTAGGTATTAATTTATGCCTGGTTAAGCTGAGTTTCAAGCAGAATAGGGATTTTTAATTCTTCAAAAATGATACAAGATAAGTGGTGGCGAACATATGGCACACAGAGCCACTTCTGCCGGCACATGAGAGGTCGCCCGGAAGAGCCCCACTGCGCATGCACACAGCCAGCTGATTGTTGGGTATCTTCCATACATGCACAGGGTATGGAAATGTGAAATGTGTATGCATGGTAGACGCGCGTGCATGCACAGAGGCATGCAGTATGGGCATTGGTAGAGGTTACCCTGAACGCCCTTTCTGTCTATGCTGCGAGAGAGCCCAGGATGGGTTGACTCCTTCCTATGATGTCATTTAGCTGAGTCTGTACTAAAATATAAAAGCCAGCCCCCGGGAGAGACCCCAGCTTTGGCGAAGATACTTGACAGACTGAAAGGTGTCTCTGAAAGCACAAAATGAATACAGAAATATGACTTACCTTCTCTGGACGAATCAAGGGAGGGGCTGGGCTCTCTCACGGCATAGACAGAAAGGGCATTCAGGGTAACCTCTACCAACGCCCATTCTCCTCCATGCTGCATCGAGAGCCCAGGATGGGACATACCAAAGCTCCAAGTAATCCGAGTAGTAATCCGAGTACCAAGTAATCCAAATAGTCCCAAGCTGTTTCTTCTTATTTCTTTTTTCACTTTCTCTTCCTGGGGTTTTACTATTTTGTTGCGATGTTTCAGTTAAGTTGTAACTTTTGGAAGTCTTGTTGAGATTTTGCTGTAAATTCTTTTTAATTCCAGGCAGTCTCCTCCCTTCCAGATCCTGCCCTTTTATTCTTTTTCTCTCCTTTCCTGTTTTCAAAAGCTTTTAATTATCCAGAAATCTTTATTATCCCTTTGACTTTTTATTTTCAGCATTAAATGCCTATTAATGTCAAAGTGGATTTTTTTCCAATTTCTTGCTTAAGTCGCTTAGCTGTCAGTATAGGAAGAGGAGAAAAAAAACCCAAATCCTTTCCCCTTTCTCTCTCCTTCGCAGCTTAGAAATCTTCTTAGGGAAAATGTTATTGTTTTTTTTTAACAGTTTCAATTCCAGGGTACCTTATTTGTTGCTTTTGCTGTTTGACCCGGTCAACCAAAACTTTCTCTTCTTATCTTCCTCCTGCACATTCTTTTCCGGTCGAGTTCTTCTTTGTGGTGGCCATTTCTCACCACCGCTACAACCGCCTTCGGGAAAGGGAGTAATGGCCAGCTGCGGAGGAGAGATGCGGCTCTCCTCAAACCTGCAGGCAGTCTCCCCTTTCTTCACCACCTCTATGGGGTGGCTTAGCCCTGAAATCAGCTGGCTCAGGGCGCTCCAGCAGCGAGCACGGATCGAAACCATACAGAGATGCGGTTTCGGTCTCTCGCTGAAGCAGCTCAAACTGGAGTCCCATTATGTGGGCATTCTTACTGTTTGGAGGCTGAATGGAGCCTTCAACTGAGTGAGGAAGCAATCCAAGGCCAGGTCCTTCACACCCTTCATACCTGCCACTTGGGCTGGATTGACAATGGGGAGGAGAAGAACGGCGAGGCTTTGTGCCTGCTGGCCTGTCAGGGAGCAGGTCAGGTGGGGCTGGCTTGCTGGTTGGGGAGGGGGGCAATCATTAGGTGGCTGCCGCTGCTTCAGTGGGGAGGATGAGGAGAAAAATGGCTCCTGCCCCCTTCCCCCACTGCCACCCCCAGCAGCTTAAATGATCCAACTAAAGCAGGGATTGCACGCTCTCTCTCTCTCTCTCTCTCTCATACAAACACACACACACAGTTTGGAAAGCCCTCCACGCCCCTCCCCATCTGCACTGGCAGTTGCAACGGTTCAGTGCCTGTCTGGCAGGGCGCTCAGGTAAGCCGGTGTGGGCCATGGGGAGCCTCTCCGCACCCCCCTGCCTTGCTTCATATTTCACTCCCCATTGCCTCGTTGCTCAGGCAGCTCCTGCCTCTCGCTTTGCTGCCAGCAGCTTGGCTGAAGATCTCTCTCTCTCTCTCTCTCTCTCTCTCTCTCTCTCTCTCTCTCTCTCTCTCTCTCTCTCTCTCTCTCACACACACACACACACACACACACACACACACACACACATACACACACACACACAGTTTAGAGAGCCCCTACTTCCATCTCTCTCTCTCTCTCTCTCTCCATTTGCATGCAAGCTCCATGGTACAACAAGGTCTCATTAAGTAGTTAAGTGGAAAGTAGTTTGGGGGAGGGGGGAGTGCCAAACACTGAGAATGAAAGTTTTTGGCAGGTTTTTCAGCAGCCGTCAAGATGGCACCACTATCTATTGAGAGGAATTGCGGGAGAACAGGGAGGGCAGTGGTGGTGGCACTGCTGAAATGAAAGGCAGAAGCCTGCAGGCCACGCTCTTCCAAGCATAGAGAGCCGACTCCTATGCCGTCGGTGGAAGAGGAGGAAGAAGAAGTGGCACTGTTGGCTGCAGCCATGCAAGCCAAGGTGGCAGATTCACCATCCTGGCCCTCTTCATCAGGTGCTTCTGCTTCCCAGGGGTTCATTGGCAGCAGAAGCGCCTTATCCTTTTTACGTGCCTGTTAGGAATGTCCAGTGCAGGGTAAGAGGCGCGCCAGCCAGGAAACGGTTGCGCTCCCTTGGTAGAAGTGGGGGAGGGGGCTGCGCTGGCTTGTTCTTGGTGGTGGGCTGGGGGGGACACGCTTCATTGACACTCTTCGGTTTCTGGCGTGCGCGTGCCCACTGGCCAACTGGTCTTCACATGTGCATGCATGCCAGAAACCGGAAGACCAGTTGGCTGGCTGCTCTTCTGGTTTCCGGCATGCGCACTCCCGTTTCATCACTCAGTACCAAAAAGGTTCGCCAACACTGCCTTAGGTTATATTTAGGTTCTAGGAAAGCTGATCTGCTAGCATAGCCATAGGTATTTCTGTCCCTTATATGCCCAACCTAAAACCTAAGTAAAAAAAGATTTAGATAATCCACTTCTTCTAGGCCATTCTGTAACTGAATTCCTTCTTAAATTTTCCTAAACTTAATTCAATCTAGTGGTGCGCGATATTTGACTACTAGGAGTGCTTTGCATTTAGTGCTGGGTACCCTCTCTGTACCTTTCAGATGCTCCTTTAAAAGACATCCTTGCATGGCCACTGCATTTCTTCAGCTTTCAGAGCTACCATGGGAGTCCAGAAGAAGGCATAGCATAAGGCGCAGTTGACAAAAAGACCATATTAATGATGGATCAGAAGCATCCTTATCTGCTTTTCATCTAAATACTATACACTATTAATTAAATCCAGTCCTCCACTTCTCTGGATGTATTAATTCTCCATGGGATCACACTATGAGATCACACTTTCTCTTCTCTTACTTTCACAGATAAAATATTTTCCATTCGTTAATTCATACAGATCACTGTTAATTCTTGTCGCATTCCAAGTGCAATCTTCCAAATGCCATGGTCAGGGGTTCCTGGATATTGGTTTCTATCACATATCATTGTTTTAATCGATTGAAGTTTCCCATAATACAGGGATGCACAACTACTTTCCCCAGTGGTCTATATGTGAATGCAACTGTTGTGGAGGGCCAAACCAATCACTGCAACATTCCCTTTAGGCTTTCTGTTTCAAACCTGGAAAGAGTTCTTTTGCTATCTTATTGTGATCATCAAGATACAGAATACAACCACATTGCCAATATATAAGCAGTAGAAAGGCAGGTTGATGGTTTATGTAGTTTGAGTTGGTTTAACAATGACATTCAGTTTACCTGCTGCTGTTTCCAACAATTAATTAAAAGCTTGTAAGAGATACATCCAAAATTAAGTATGGAGATTGGGTAATTATATTATGAAGGACTTCTATCAGAAAATAATAAAGATGTATAATTCCAATAAATAAAAGTAATGATTGCATCCCAGTATATATTTAAATACTAATTCATTTATGTTTATTTTTCTTTTACAGATCTTTGAATATCTTCATTTTTTTCTGGGCTGATCTTATTACTCCCTTAAGTTATTACATATATTTGCTGCTCTGTGAGAAGAGATGTCTCGCAGCCCAGATGCAAAGGAAGACCCTGTTGAATGCCCCCTTTGCATGGAGCCTCTGGAGATTGATGACATAAACTTCTTCCCTTGCACCTGTGGTTACCAGATCTGTCGCTTCTGTTGGCATCGTATTCGCACAGATGAGAATGGACTTTGTCCTGCTTGTAGAAAGGTACCTGTCTTAAGTTCATCAGAAATATTTTGTTTGATAATACAATCTCAGAATGAAATATTGCTTCAATTGAATGTAAATTTCTTCCTAAAAAATTGGGGATGGATAAAGGGTAAACAAAGAAAAACATACAAGTGCTTTATATAAATGTAAAGTTATCTCACAATGTAATTTGTGGCTAATGCAGTATTTCCTTTGATGTGTAGATAGTCCTTGATTTACAATTGTTCATTTAACAAGGATCTAGAAGTACAATTTCTGGAAAGAGTGATATAAGGCCTGCAAAGCAGTTCTGACCATCACCATCCCTATAGTCATCACCAAACACTGCATCACTATCCTTATAGTATTTGGCAACCTGTTCACACTTACAGCTGGTTGGCAAAAGTCCCACGATCACATGATCACAGTTTGCAAACTTCTCTGCTATCTTTGCTTGAAAGTCAAGAGCAGCAGCCCCCAACCTTTTGGACACCAGGGACTGGTTCCATGGAGAGAGGTTTTTCTGCAGATCGGAGGGGGGTGTGATTTCACATTCTGCCTGCATCCCGCGTATGGGGCTTTGCTTGTTTACATGGCCCAGTTTCTGGCATGCTGTGGCCTGGTGTCAGTCCATGGATCGGGGGTTGGGGACCCCAGGTCAAAAGAGAAGCTAGCAGGGAACATTGCAAAGTGCTGTCACTTGCTGACAAAATGCCTCTCCTCTCTGAGGTCTGGCTATAAGAGCTGCCTCTCATGAGAAGCTGAACTGCTTTGGTGGAGTGCAGAAATACTGAAGATTTTCGCTCCATTCCTGCACCAAAGCACCAAAGAAGTTCCTTTCCATTCATGGAGGGGAGCTGAATTCCTTCGGCAGGGCAGGCTCTTTTAGCCAGCACCGGAGACAAGAGGGAGCCAAAATCCAAGCAGAGAGCAGAGTCGGCCACTAAGATAAGGAACATAAGGATGCCTCAGGTGGGTAGGGAGAGGCCTAGTGCAGACTATGCATGAAGTGTCCCTTTGCTCAGGGGCTGACAATTCTACTTGGATTTCAGTAGGGAGGATTTTCAGCTTCTGCACAGAACCTCCACCCCACTCTCCTTACCTGAAACAACCCATGAGATTGCTTAACAACCACAGTTGGGAGTGTGAATATTGGGGTTGTTGAGAGAGGTAGTCACATGGGCACTCACACATTTTATAATAACTGGTCCTTATTGTGGTTGCAAGTTGAAGACTACTTGTAAAGTGGCAAAGGTTGTTCTTGGTTAGTTCCTTCCTATGCAAGCTGATAACTATACATTACTTTATATATTTCATCAATTTTTTGTGTGTTTTGTGATTATTTTGAACTGAAATATTTTCAACTGAAATAATATGTTCTGCAATGATGTTTATGTCATCAGGAATGTATACCTTATTTTTCTTAATGACATACTTCATGAAACCTTGAAGCAAAGTAATTAGTTTGCTGCTTCCTATACTATCAAAAATCACCTAGATCAGAGGTCTGTAACCTTAAACACTCAAAGAGCTATTTGGACCCGTTTCCCACAGAAAAGAAAACACCTTCACTCCCATGTTCAGTCTTCAGTCACATGACCCGCCCAGCCACGCCTACCCAGGTTTTCTGGCCCTGTTTTTCCTTTTTGAAAACTGTTAGTTCATATACTTCCATGTTTTAGTGATGCTGCAATATTTCATAGCTTTTCCTTAATGTGTATCTTTTTCAAAATGTATTATAATTTGGCTGATAACTAACTGGTGCATTGACTTTGAATGCTTCTGACGACACAGGTGTTTATACTTAACAATGGGTCACTTTTCATGCACAACTAATAGATAAAGAAGGCTAAATGTTGTGTTTCATGAGATTGAAACAGTGCCATGCTTTCTTTAAATACTACAGTATATAACTGCAAATTACCGTGTTTCTCATATAATAAGGCCGGGTCTTATTTTTTTTTTGAGCCCCGAAAAAATGGCTAGGCCGTCTTTTCGGGGGTGACTTAATCCCCCCCCTTGCATCTTTGGGCGGGCGGGTAGCGATGGCTTGGATGTTGACCTCAGCGTTGGTGGGGCACTTCATATTGGGGTCAACGCAGGCAGCACCATATCCGGGTATGCAACAAAAGTACTTCCTAATGGCAAGCCCCCCCACCATTCCCCCCCCCCATTTCGCATGTTTTAATATAGGCCTTAATTTGGGGGGAGGGGCTTAATTTCATTTCATGCCTATAAAACATGCTGGGACTTCCTATTGGGGGAGGCCATATTGTTGGAGAAACAGGGTAGCAAGCATATTGGCTAGGGCCACTTGGGACGATATCCCTTGCTTTGTTCCACTTATCATTTGTGTTTCTGCCACTACTGATTGAATTTCTTCAAGTTATGTTATTTGATTAGAATGTCAATTACTACTTGCTCTAGGCAAACAAGAATGCCCTATAGTTTTTTTTAAAAGCTAATTTAATATACTTAGTAATCTTAATTCCCAGTGTCTACATTGATAATTTTCTTGAAATAGTGTAGAAATGGTTTGCTGTTACTTGCTTATGGATTGTCTTCAGATTTCCTGGTTTAGTCTACACATCTATCATTTCTTAGAAATCTCTAAGTAAGCATAACCCTTAGAAATTACTAAGTAAGCATAACCCTTTCTGGCTTTTTAAAATAGGCATGGTCGCTGAGTGCTATCATTGTAGCATTTAATTTACTTGTTAATATATTTAGAAATAAGCATGTTTTGTGCATCTTATGCCTAAGTACTATTTAATGTATTTAGGTATAAAATAAAGAAAATTCTGCTCATTTCTTTGATGCTATGATGCTGCTTATTATGCTCAGGTAATATATATGTTGCCTTCATCCAGCCATAATTGGAAGCTGATATAATACATGTATAGTATACCTATAATAAAATGATTGACTATTTTCTTTGTGTGGTGAAACGAAGTTTGCGAGTTAAATATGACTTAGTTCTGGAAATTGTGAATCTTCCCGTGAAACGCCTTCAGTTCATTCTTTCATATATTAAAATAATAACATCAATTAGTATCATTGCATATCACGTTGTCTCTTATTGATCAGTATATTGATCAGTATATTTTAAATGGTACTAGGTTCAAAAATGAATGTAGTAGCACTAGCTAAGGCAGTGTTTTCAAACTAGATTTTTGTAGTATCTATCCTGGATAAACGCTTCAAATTTCCCCAGTGAGAATAATGCCATTCTCCTTAGAGCTGCTCGGATCATCCAGAGAGTGGGAGGTGCTTCAGTCTGCGTCGTTGTAGGCTGAGCTTAATTACTGAGGAACGCTCCGCCTTCCATCACGTGGCTCCGTTACGGCGTTCCCCATTTTTATGCTCAGCCTCGTGCAGAGTAGGCAGTGTTTGTTCAGTTCTCTTGGCCGTCTCAAGAAGATTCTATTTTGACTGGTTTCCTTTCTTCTATCAGGTTGTATTGATTTATTCTCCTTTAGCCATGCAAATGGTTCTTCGATTCTCAATTCCCCTGGGAAGCCTTCCCTAGCCCCAGGGGGTGCCTAGGGGAAAGTTAGCTACCCCCCCCATCCCTTCCTTATGGCATTTCGGCCGAACAGACTGTATTGTTTTAAAACGTTCCGAGCCGCTTCATTCCCACCGAACGCCGTTTTTTCTTGCCTGTCGGAAGTTATTGACTCTTCCTTCTTGTCCCCCTCCCGGGGTCCTTGGTTTGCCCCTGGGGAGATTCTGGCTGCTGCTAAGGAGCCCTTTAAGGCCACATCGCAGGCGGCCACCATTTTGGGCACCGCCTCGTGGCCGGGCACCATTGTTTCCACCTTATCTCTCCGATCGCTGCAGCACGCCCTCACTTAAGCAGCAGGACCCGCGGGCCTGCGCAGAATCATTAAAGCAAAAAAAGTGGCTTGTGTGCTTGGAGGCCAGTTCTCTGCAGAGAGCCAGTTTAGTCTAGTGGTTAAAGCACCAGGTTTGAAATCAGGAGATTGTGAGTTCAACTCCTGCTTTGGCCAAGAAAGTTAGATGGGTGACTTTGGGCCAACAACCCCCGTTGGAGCTACGTTCAACCTCGTAAAGGTTAGGCTGTCGTTTTGTGAAGATTCTTGGCCGACCAAGATCGTTGGTATGTTTGTCTTTATATCCCTTTCCCTAGCCTCTGCGCAATCAGGTTATCAATAGACTCAGGGGAGCGCGTTCATCGCCCCCAGGGGGAGAAAGATAGCGGGCGGCTTAGAAGCGCTCCGGCGCTAACCCCCCCACCCCAGATTCTCTTTTTCGAGCCTCATTCCTGCCGACTTCCACGCCGCCTTCGTTAGCGGCTTGAATTCAAACGCTCCAAAGCGCCGCTGGTTTCCCCCCCACCCGAACGCCGATCGTCCCAGGAAGGGGCGATTTCTGCCTCACGGCCCCCCTCGGCTTCCTAGGCTCGCCGGAGGGGCCCGATTCTGCCCTGAGCGGCCCCGACATTCAGACGAGTAGGCGGCCGCCTCCTTGGGTGCCGCCTCACAGTCGGGTGCCATTGTATTTCTCCGGCCTCTTTCTTGGCTGCGAGGGTTCTCTAGCTCTTCAAACAGGCTTACCAGCCCATGCAGAGCCTCTCTCTCGGTATTTGGAAACCTCCTAAACTTGGTTGGCAATCTGCAGCCGCGCTCAGGGCGAAGCAATAGCGGCACCTTCCCCCCCCCCTCCCGGTTGTTGTCTGGGAGTTAAAGCTGCTGGAGGCACTATCTTCAAACCCGGTGCATTTGGCGTTCATTTGACTGATTGGATAAATAAGCACTTGGGTTGATACCTTATTGGAACAGGATCCAGACTTAAGTCTCAAAGACGTAATTTAAAAAAAAAAAAAGAGAGAGAGAGAGAGAGAGAGAGAGAGAGAGAGAGAGAGAGAGAGAGAATAATCAAACACGTATACAAGAATGTATACATATGTATATATATAAGTAAATAAATGAATTACATATATATTAATAATAATAATAATAATCACAATAATAATACCTTATATACATTACTATACC